ACTTTAACTTACTACAATGATTCAAAAGTTTGGGAAGCGAAAAATAAAGTTCTTTGTATTCATGTCTTAGTCTTTTTAGTTCCAAACATAACAAGGTTGCCAATTATACAGATAATTGTACAAAATGAAGTCTCATTTTGCCAGTTTATACTTTCAAATTTGTAATGCTTCCCCCAACTGCTGACTTTTGAGGATATTAAAAAGATGATACTCTCAAAACACTCCTTATGATGAAGTAGAAAAAGTCCCGCATTAGTAGCCAGTTGAAGTGGATTTGTTGCTTCAGCATTTCCACTAACTTCATGATCTTCAGCAAATCCTTTAAGTTTGGGCTCCTATATGTAGCAACATCAGCATCACATGGGTGTGGTGGTATTAAAATTAGATAACTGAGATGGAAGCACCTTAAAATACTTGTAATGCTATATCAAATACATAGTAACTAAATTCCAGAGGATAGGATCTGAGAGAGCTAAGCTGACCAGCATTCTAAAGGAAACAGAAGAGTTTGTAGAAATTTTTATTACAGAAAAGCCCAGTACCATTATAGGATTATGTCTCCATTTCTCTTTGATGCATTTAACAGAATGGATTATATAGAGAAAAGGGAGTAATAAGCAGAGGAGGCAGAGCCTGAGAGAGCTCAAATGCATTACTCATTGCAATTGAAGGAATAAGTAAAAGGTCAACCACGGGACCATAACCCCTGCAGGGTAGCATCTATCTGTCAATGTGCACAGGCACCAGGGGGTTACCCTCACAGGCGATGACAAGACGCCTAGTGCTGGCAGTGGCCTGGTAGGAGCAGTTGGGTGGCGGGGAACTTCCTGTATCTTTGCAGTCTGTGACTCTCACTACACCCTCATGGCAGTTCATCCTGCCATTCTTGCACCTGATATTAGGGTTGTTGCAGATGTTATTAATGGTCCCGATGTTTTCGTGGATGAAGGTGTTGAAATCCTTGCACTTAAGCCTAGTCATCCCCTGTTTGTCCATCCTCCTGTTGCAGTACAAGTTGGTGCCACCTGGCCCTATAGAGTCCACATGTTGCCGCTGGAATTTTTCAAATCTGGTCTCGCCATAGGAGGGTTGCACCAGCCCCAGCCCCAGCAGGGTCAGCAGCGAGAGCAGAAGCAATGAAAGGGTCTTCTGGAGAGCCATCACTACCTTGGAGGCGCCTGGGGAGAAACCAAGAGGTAGGAGAAAGGAAGGTAAGAAATGGGCACCAGAGAGAGGTGTGGAGAATGGCAAGTTGATATTTCCTCAACTCTATAGTCTACTCTTTCTTCCCCACTTCTCTGCTCACAACTTTTCTCATCACTGCTTCCCCAAGAGTAAAAAGTTTGGAAACATGATCTTCTCTGAAAGCAAGAACTTTTCTCTTTTATAGAGAGATGGTGCTGTAGCCAGTACAATGACTCAGGGCAGAGACTGACGGGCTGGATGTCCAGGTGTATGTGTCCTGTATGGTCAGTGTGTGAAAAGGGAAAAAAGGCAGATCTAAATGAAACTAGAGTTGTCTGTCTCTTGAGAAAATTCTCTATTCATGTGATCTTAGGAGAGTGTATGGTTCCCTGGAGACTCTGATTCCCAAAGGTTTGGACAGACAGGATATGCCAATGAGAGTTTGTAAACTGATTTTAATTCCTGACATCTGGGAATTGAGGAAGGTGTGGGAAAAGGATAGAGTAACATTTAGGGTTAGCCTTTCCTCTCATATGTCTATTCTTTTTTTAAATTAAAAAAATTTTCTATTGCAATTGACATATACTATATTAGTTTCAGGTGTACCACACAGTGATGATACATTTATATACCTTACGAAGTATTCACCCCAAAAGTCTAGCACCCATCTGACACCATACGTTGTTATTACAATGCTATTGACTATATTTCTTATGCTGACTTGGCATCCCCATGGCTATTTTTAAAACTGGCCATTTGTACTTTTTAATTCCTATACCTTTTTCATCCGTTGGCATTCTTTTAATGATATTAAAATTGAGTTGTTTTTTTAACATTCTTTTAATGATATTAAAATTGAGTTGTTTTTTTTTTTTAAAAAAAAAAACTTATAAATCCTATTTTAAAAAGTAAAAATGGAGTATCCAGCCAAAGTGCTCTGAAAATAGTAAATATATGTTGAGTGAACTAATAAACAAAACAAGGGAGCTAATGAATGAATGAAATGATATGGGTATAGGGAATGAAGGTGTTTCCCAGGCTTGTGGAATTGACTGATAAAAGAAATTTAAAAAATAAATCTCAACAGCACCACAATCTTCACAAAAGAGGACTTGGACTGTGACTTCTTTCCTTGCTGTTTCTATGCACAACCTAAAAACTAGGCCCTGGTGATATAATCCATCATCATGCATGTATCCTTCAGGCTGTGTCTATCTTCTCAATAGCTGTTGTTAGTTTGCTGTCAACTCTAGTTGCAGAATCATTTTGTTGGCATTTTTGGCAGTGTAAAATAAGCATATGTTTAATAGAGTTTTTTTTAAAAAAACACAAAACTAAACAAAAACCTTCAGAGCACAACAAAGAAAGCATTGCCATATTGTGTCAGAACATTGCTTCTGTTGACTGAGGAAAGGAAGGAACCAAGACCTATCTGACTCTAAAATCAGTGCTTTTTCCACATCTTCTACTCCCTCTCTCTTTACACTGCCCAAATATTCAGGATATTAAAGACATTTATGTTCAGAGTTGCTTCTCTTTAGCAACAGAATCTAATCAGGGGTGGGATAGGGTAGGAGAGGAAGTGGGACTCTCTCACCAACACTAACTAGCTAGATGCTGCCATCTGACGGTCACTCCTGGGATTGGCATGAACTCATGAACTGTGAATCTCCTTGACCCTGGCAATGAGGCAGGGCTGACTCACTAGAGCAGCGATTTTCAACCTTTTTCATCTCATGGCACACATAAACTAATTATTAAATACTGAAGCACACCAAAAAATATTATTTGTCAATCTGACAAAAAAATTGGTATAATTTTGATTCATTCACACCAGGCAGCTATCATGTTGGTTGTCATTATTTTTAATTTGACAATCTAAGGGAAAAGTGGTCTGTTTCCCTGACTAGTCAGATACTGCAGGTTTTAAAAATTGTGGGGGCATACCAGTTGAAAATTGCTGTACTAGAGCAAATAAAATTAATCTCTGACTCAACAGGAAGTGAGCAACCAAAACAGAAAGGACCATTTTTTTGAGCGTCATACAGGCCCATTTCTAATCATGCAGTCCAAGGGCTGATAGTAGCTGAAGTCCTGGTTTGGTGAATATGGGTACCACTGTCCTTTGTTTTCAAAGAAGCTTCATGATGGCAGGTCACACTGTCTGGGTGACTGAAATGGCTGATAAGGGACTTGCATACCAGTTTCAAACATAACTTCATTCTCTAAAATGCTATCTACTTTTGCTTGTATACAAAAGGCCAGAAGGCTCTAGGTCATATTTCAGTGCCTACAGCTATAGATATGACACATGGACTTAGGAAGAGAGAGAAGGGGACAGTTGTGGGAAGAAGAGTTGCAGGGAGAAATGATGCTGATTAACTCCTCATCCTTAGACTAATGGATAGAATTTCTGAAGGCACACTTAGCACTTGGGTAATATCTTCATCACAACAATGTACTTTGGGTTATTTTCTCCAAATCTAATCTCGCATGGTTAATCTTGCACTTCTGATTTTGCATGGTTTATCTACTTTTTCTCATCCTGCTTCTTTGTGTCCAAGATATGATTTAGAAAGTTGACTGGCTACAGAGAAGACCTAAACTATTCATGCAAGAGCAAACCCACAGCCTCAGCTACAATAACACACTGATTTAATAAGACAAACCATCCCAACACATACTTTTTGGTCAGAGCTTGCCTCAAAGGCTCTCTCCACTCTACCACATTGATTCTCAATAAGAACTTCTTTTGATACTGTGATCCCAAAGAACTAGTTCTGCCACTTTAATTATATGATCTGGGGAAAATTACTTAATCTCTCTCAGCATTATTCCTCATAAGCAACTGAGTATAATAATACCTGCCTCTAGGGATGTTATGTGGAATAAATGATAAAATCAATGTTAAGTGCTTATCATAATGCCAGGTATATGATAAGTACTCAGTAGGTGTTGGCAATGGTCATTTTTGTAATTTCCTTTTTCTTGGTTTCCTTTGCTTCCTTGAAACTGGATAAAATAATGAATGACTACACCACGTTGTGTATATTATTATTCCCCTCTCCCTTATTGTGTAGAGTACCTGTATTCCTTCCAAATTAGAAGGCTGTTTTTAAGTTGAAATATCTCAGCTACTAGAATTTATGCTGTGTCCCTACAGAAAATTTTCCTCTTCACATTGAGTGGAATTTTTCTTCCTTGCATATCACTATTCTTCAAAGGGCTTGGGCATTTTGAGGTTTTTGTTTTCTTTTCGTTGCAATGTTGACCAGGACTTCAATTCCTCAAATAAAGACTGAGATAAAGACTGACTTGCCTGTCACATGACATTTCATTTTAAGCAGCTTTAGGTTGTGAGAGCACAAGAGACCCAGAGCAAAAGTGCTAGGCTTGGCTACCCAGCTGCTGGTTCCATCAGCAGGTCAGCAACCAGCCCCATCCCATTGCCATGTGATTTCCTAGGAAACAGTCATTTGCCCTAACACCAGAGCAGAGAATGCAATGATAATAATCTAAGCAGATGTTTGGAGAAGATATGTGTTTTCCCAGCTATGGCACACTTAATATAATAACGATCTATACCTTTGGCCTTTCCTATCAAGGCCTTGAGTAGGTCAATGATCTCTATGGAAGTCCTCTTGTATCATATCAAGGTGAAGGCACCGGTTGGAGAACCTCAGAAAAGGGTCCAAATATTCTACCAAAATCTGGACCTTTCTCACTTCCAAAGGGGTTTTGGGGATTTTACAATAAGGCAAATTTTCTATTAAAAGAGATTTGGAAAACTCTTCTTCCTACTTTCTTAGGAAATGACAGTGATATGAAGTTTGAAGGTGGTTCACTCAAGGAAGAAAGATTCATGTGCTGAGTGTGCACCAGTAATTTACTTCTCCATTTCTTCCTGCATAAGTTTAAATATTTTGAGTGAGTCTGGGCTCTTCCAGGTGGCACCTGGACACTGATCTATAACCTGGGTATTGAAGAAGCAAGGCTTTTGGCCCATTTCAGGGCAATGTAGGCAGCAGGAGAGGACACCATTGTGAATACCGTGACCACTACAGTCATATATTTACAAGACAGCAAAACTAGTGATTCATAATTGTAATTTATTAACAACTACTTTATAAATAAAATATTCAGGCACCTGTTGATAGAAATTAGGTAGCAGGAAGTTAGCCATTAAATCTGTGAATTGATTGGTGTATTTTATGAAAAGAGAGTCTGTTTACCTAAGCTTGTGATTACTTGAAAACAAATTTAGACAAAGAAGAATAAGGGATAAGCTTGGAATCTTTCTATAAATTCCCAAAGACCTCACAGTTGCCCGACCCCCAATGAAAAAGTAAAAGTTTCAAGATAAAATAATGGAAAGTAATCAAATTTTTAAACTTTATATGAAATAACCAGGAGAATACCCTGGGAGCAGTCTAGTCACAGCAACTCAAAATTACCTCCTGCCTAAGACAAGAGGTGCATACTAGGAGTGAATTTTGGTGTTTATGCAGGATTCTGTGTGTGTGTTTATGTGTTAGAGAGAAAGAGAGAGAGAGAGAGAGAGAGAGAGAGAGAGAGCGAGGGAAAGTTTAAGCGGGAGGTAGATAGAAAGTTTAATTAATCTGTTGGTATTTAGTTCTAAACACTATTTCTCAAAGTTTAACTTTTGTAAAACTAATATTGGCTTATTTGACAGCCAGAACAATTTGCTCCTCTTGAAAATTTTGCTTAGCAGCCATGAGCCCTGGCATTTCGCAGCTCTTTCTGTAAGATGAATTTAACATCCTTACACTCACAAAAAGGGAAAGTCTACCTCCCTATTGACTGAGAAAGAGCTAACTGATAGGGGAAAAGGCATTTGTGTTTCATGCCATCCTCGCTGGGGACAGTTGAGTAGAGAAAATGGGGAAAAATCAATAATCCAGGAATTGATGAGAAGACTTTGATTCTTACTGATTTCAGAGATATTTTTATTTACTAACATATTGTAAAACAG